AGACAGGTCACCCCAACATTTGGCAGCACACCAGTTTCAGCCTTGGCAGGATAAATCTCCCCAGACTTATCCAACGGCTGTGAACATTCTAAACTAACACGAGTCTCATAAGTGTCCAATTTAAGGGTATTACACAGAAACACACCACAGGAACATGAAACAAATATGTACTTTATTCATTTACAATAAATTCATAATGTACATCATTCTGATTGAAACTAAGGGCATACAACTGTCTAACAAAAAGGTACAAGGCAAGGTTGGTAGTGAAAGGGTACACCCAAGTTTATGAGATTGATTATGCTGAAACTTCCACGCTTGTTGTAAAGATGAACTCTATTCAAGTCCTTTTATCGCTAACAGCTAATTTGGAATGGTAGTTACATCAACTTGACATTAAGAATGTGTTCCTGAATGGTGACCTGGAAGCTGGAAGATGTATATATGGTTCAGCTACCAAGTCTTCATGCTAAAGGTAGTGACGACAAGGTGTGTAAACTGAAGAAGTCTTTATACGGCCTAGAGCAGTCTCCCAAGGCCTAGTTTAGTAGATATTATATAGTGGTTCAACGGGTAGGATTTAAGAAATGTCAATCTAACCATACTTTCTTTGTTAAGAGGAATCAGGAAAAGGTAGCAGTACTTATAGTTTATATAGATGACACCATTCTCACAAGTAACTAGAGTGCAAGAATACAGAAGTTAAATGAGTTTTTAGCTTCCCAATTTGAAGTTAAGGATCTAGGGCCCTCTAGTAATTCCTGGGGATTGAAGTTGCTCGGTCTCAAAAAGACACATTTGTCTCTCAGAGGAAATACATCTTGGAACTTCTACAGAATACAGCTCAAGATTTAAAATGCCAGTGCCAATGGAATGTTGGTCATCCAAATATAAGAAACATTTTGGAAATGTCAAAAATATCATATGGAAATATTGTAAAAATTATAGACATGGTGGAAACATTGTAAAATATGCAAAACATAGAGTGATATTTTATGAAATGATAAAAGAAGCATAGGCACACCTTTTTAAAATGTTATCTTGTTCCAAATCATTAAACAAATTAAAGCTAAGAAACTAAGGTCATATACAAAAGAAGACATACTAAAGTTGCCCTATATTCAAAGCTTTATGATAGAATGAGTTAAAGAAAATTTTAAATTCAAAGATCAACTAAATAATCTATTACACAAACAGAAACTAATATTTCACTTCATGTTTGAAATGAATATTGAGCTTGGTCAAAGCGGTAATCATGTAAGTTAAGTGGGCAATAACATTATTACTCCACATATCTACAATATTGTTACAAACTTATGTTATAATACTATCTTTGTACTCTACATATAGTGTTGGTAGTGCTCACTAAAGAATATGTCAATTCCAGAAAAATTTCATGTCGCTACCCATGGAAGTTGAAGTGGAAATATATCATGAAATCTATCTCTTGTACTCCACAAAGTGTTGGTAGTGTTCATTGGGGAATATGCCAATTCCAATAAAATTTTGAAATGAATATTGGGTTTGCTCGAAGTGGTAATCATGTAAGTTTGGCAGCCAATAATATTGTTACTCCACACATGTACAATATTGTCACCAACTTATGTTATAATACAATCTCTTGTACTCTACATAGTGTTGGTAATGTTCATTGGGGAATATGTCGATTCA